TGACCGACTCTTACAGGGCTACAGGGTGTGCCTGACTCTTATGCCTCTGTTGGGTAGCAGCGATGAGCATGCCTGTGGGAGGTGTGCCCAGGCAGAGGTGCTCTTCAGCCTAGTGAGGGAGCTCAGGGAGGGTGTAAGGAGGTTGAGGACCATCAGGGAATGTGACAGAGAGAGAGATGCTTAGAGTCACACCCTGCCTCCTGTGGAAGAAATTCAGCAGGTAGCCAGAGCCCCTGTCACAGAGAACTCCCTGTCCTCTCTCCGCCCGACTACATGTGGTGATCTGGCAGATGGGGTAATGGCAAGAAGTTCCTGTCCAGTGCAAGAAGCGTCACTGGTGTGTCTGTCCTGCAACCGGCACTTTCTCAGTCAGCACTGCAAAACGTGTACAGTGCACTGCAAGGGAGACTAGATAATGATGAGGATGATGGTGCTTTTGTTCTATTGGGGGAGTTCAATTTCGCAGATATCTGCTGGAAATACAATACAGCAGAGAGAAAACAGTCCCAGAGGTTCCTGGAGTGCATGGAAGATAACTTCCTGACACAGATGGTGAGGGAGCCAATTAGGGAAGGTGCTCTTCTGGACTTGCTATTTGTGAACAGAGAAGGGCTTGTGGGGGAAGTAATTGTTGGAGGCCATCTAGGGCACAGTAATCCTGAAATGATAGAGTTTTCCATTCTTGGGAAAGTAAGGAGAGGGGTCAGTAAAAACAGCACCTTGGACTTCCAGAGGGCAGACCTTGGCCTGTTCAGGAGACTGATTGACAGAGTCCCTTGGGAGGCAGTCATGAAGGGCAAAGGAGGCCAGGTAGGCTGGACATATTTCTAGAAGGAAATCTTAAAGGTGCAGGAGCAGGCTGTGCCTATGGCCCAAAAGATGAGCCGGCAGTGGAGAAGACCGTCCTGGCTGAACAGAGAGCTTTTGCTGGAGCTCAGGAACAAAAGGAGAGTTTATGGGCTTTGGAAGAGGCAGCAGGCCACACATGAGGACTACACAGAAGTACTGAAGCTCTGCAGGAAGAAAATTAGAAGGGCCAAAGTCCAACTAGAACTCCACCAGCCCACTGCCATAAAAGACAAGAAAAAATGTTTCTATAAATGCATTAACAACAAAAGGAAGAGTATGGAGAATCTTCATCCTTTATTGGATGTAAAAAGCCCTGGGTACTTAATGCTTTCTTTGCCTCAGTCTTTAGTGTTAGGACTGTTTATTCCCTGGGTACTCAGCTCCCTGAGGGTCTGCCCTCCGGAAATCCAGGGTGGTAGTTCTGCTGAAGCCACTCCTTACTTCTCCATTAATTGAAAACTGCTTTCAATTCCCAATTGACCGCTCTGCCCAAACAGCCTCCCACTGTGACATCCCCCACAAGTCCTTCTCTGTTCACAAGCACCAGTCCCTGATAGTCTCCATTCCTGGAGATACTCCAAACCGAACAGGCTTGTGGGCAGCCTACTGTGCCTAACTCTAGTAGGCAGCGTAGCCCCACAGAGCTGCTCTTATGGTCAGCCATGCAGGGATGAGGGAGAGAATTGGAAAGATAATGGTGACAAAACTTGGGTGCTGAGAGAGTTTAAGTAGTAAAGCAAAAGCAGCACACACAAAGCAAGCAACCTAAGGAATTCAATCTTAATTTCTCATTGTCAGACAGAGGTTTAGCCATTTGCAGAAAGCAGACCTTCATCACATGTAACAGTTACTTGGACAAGACAAATACACCAACTGCACCCACAGGCTGAGTCCCACAGGCTTTCAAAGCTGCTCCCAGAGAGTTGTGTAGTTACAGCAGACAGTTTCCAAATATTTGATTCTGACAGGGATATTTTAACTGGTTCAGTCCCCTTCTTCTTTACCCATTCTGCTTCAGCCTTCCAATATCTTAGGTGAGTCCTCACTCTTCTCACACTCTGAAACTGCTTCAGCATTGGAAAGAAGTTCTGCTGTTTCCATCAATTACCTTTATGGCAGGTCCCCAGTCATGGCCCAGCTGTTGAGGTTTGTGAGTAGCCCTGCTCAGCTTTAGGCATGGCTCAGGTCCACTCAGTCCTGCCATCCAGTTTTGCTGCCTTAGTGGTGAGCAGAGGAAAGGGGGAAAGGACAGAGACTGATTTGGAAGTTCAGTGGGAGAAAGGAGAAGTCTGTGCTTCTCTCCCACGTCTGAGAGCGTAACAGGAGCAAGAGCTTGTGAGCATGTGTGTTTGCAGCTGCTGGATCTGAGAGCTCACAATCAGAAGCCTGGGGAAGCGGTGGAGTACATGAAGTGATTGCTTGAGCTGTTCCAGCCTGTTCATCCTTGTCTCCCGGTTGCAGGTGCCCTTTCTGAAGTGCAAATGGAGGTCTCTGGCCCCACAGGAGGAAAGGTCTCAGAGTCTCTCACTCTCACCTGCCACATCTCTGGTGTACCCATCAGCGACAGCAGCTACGCTTGGGACTGGGTCCGTCAGACTCCTGGCAGTGGCCTGCAGCATATAGCGTTGCAGTATCCTTTCACGGGACTCCAGCACATTGCTTCGTCCTTCCAGATGCAAGTCACCAGCTCTGCAGACCCTTCAAGGAACCAACTGTTGCTGGAAGTGCTCTCCCCATCAGCTGCAGACATGGCCACCTATTTCTGCAGCAGCAGAGAGCTGGAAAAGGGCACAGTGCTTGAAACGCAGGCAGGGCCAGGGCAGAAAAGGAAGGACAAGTTTTACATCCAGTCAGGTCTGTTGTGGTTGGCTGCAAGGCAAAGCTCTTCCTAGACTTCTCAGGACTACTTTGAGTTGGCTTTCCTGGAAAGGGACATAGAGGGACTGCTGCAGCAGCAACCTCTTTCTCAGGCACGCACAAAAACTGCTTTCCTGGTTTGAGTTCCAGCAGATCGAATTGTGTTCAGTGATTTTTCTTTTCAGCCACCTCTCTTCTAACTAAGTGTGTTTTCTGAAGTTAACAGCATATTTTCAGCTTGATGTAACATATATACAGCTTGATGTTTAGGTTTACTACCAAGGTTTGGGATGTGCAGACCAAGGTCACTGGTAACTCTTGTACACCACGTTGGGGGATCAGAAAGTAAAAGGCTGCATCTGTGGGGAGAAGCGATCAGGACAGGCGACCTTAAACTCACCAACAAGGGATTCCATCCTATATATGTCATATTCATTATAAAGCTGAGGGATCATGAAGATCAAGACTTTTCTTCCGTGGCTGGCATCCAAGAAGGACTCCATCCGATCTGCCTTTGATCCCCATCTGTGTGTTCCTGAATCCAGTTCAGAATCCAGCTCCTGAATCCAATTCCCTTCTGCTGCATCAGTTGTGATGGTGATGTAATTGCCATTGGGAGGTGGTGGTGGTGGTGGTGAGTGTGGTGTTGAGTTTGATACTGGCTTTGTATATATTTATAT